ATGATACCATAAAGCAGCATTATCCTCAAAAACTATTTTAAATGACATCCTTCATGGTCTAGGGAAGTGATGGGCAATACTAGTGACTTTTGTTTCGAATCCACACCATGTAATACTGTAGCAAGTATCGCAACAGGCTATTGGTAGATACTAAAAAGTAACTTATAGGGATGTAACAATTTCCAAAATATTGTGATATCGTATTGTCAAAATATCGTGGATCATCACAATATATCGAATTACAAGTCTCATTGCCTGAATTAAGAGTTATGGTGCAACAATAGCTAAACAAAAGACAGAGGGAACTATATAGACCTCCACAAAATATTGCAATAAATATCATATCCTGAGATGCATATCGTGAAAATATTGTACGGAAAGATTTGGATATCGTTACATCCCTAGTAACTATCAAAATTACACAGCTCTGCTTTAATCATGGTTGTTATATTTAGTCATGATGAGTAAAATTACATGTGTTTTGGTCAAACACGCATGGAAACTCCAGCAGCCACAGCCCTAGAGCAGTATCGCCTTATAAATACTGTTTGTAAACCACTGTGTCTCTCTCTTCACTTCCTCTTGACCTTATTTGGAAAGGTCATGGTTCTTTGCTGCCTCTGTTTTCGCCTACATTGATCCTTGAGTCTGTGAACTATAGTAATCTTGTTTTAAAACCCAGTGGCCCTACAGGGAACTGGCCCTACAATATTATACTATTACAAATTTAACAATTCTTTCTATTTTATGTAAGCCATTTTATTTTATTAGAATTCAACATTTAAGCTCCAGTTTCATGGATATTACTGCCGTTCATCTTTTTTACTGCTTTGCAATGAAAATGAGTGTTTAAACAGCCGAATATATTTCATGAGTTTCCAATTAGGCAGTTTCTTGTAGGTTGTATAAAGTCTACTGTACTTGGGTAGACGTGGCCCTATCCGGATGCATTATTCATATGAAAGATTTGCTGCAGATAAGTGCCTCTCTTTGGTAGAATCTCAATGAATAAGTGATTTCCTGTCTCCTCCTGATGAGACGATACAAAGGTGGAGGTGCAAAGATGGCGGAAGGACGTGGGGCCCTTAGTAAAAGTGTACAGTGAAATGGCTGTTGGACATCTAGTTTACTGTATTTTTTAAGGATCATCTATGAATATTTTTGGTTAGATCTGATTTTACATGACCCTTAATACATTGTTCTTACCTCATCTAAAAACATGTAACAAAAAAAAAAAAAATAAAAAAAATCAATGTAAATGTAATGCAAAATGTATTCCTGAATCCTGCAACTCTAACCCTGTATATGAGTAGCCAGGCTGGTGTCACCTCATGCCTCCGCTCAATTTCATTTCTCTCCAGTGACAAGGTCTGGAATCGGAATACACTAAATGGTTTGCAAGAACTCCAGAATTTGCAGACTGCGTACCAGCCAATCAGCGAAGAGCTGTGAAGCCATGACGTTAAATTCAAGCGCTTGTCAGGGTCCCTTTTGTGGTACAGCACAACAGTAAACAAAGCGGTCGAGATGGATGTAGACGAAGCCATACATTCTGTGCTGGCAACAATGCCCGAGATCGAGGATTGAAAGCTGGAACAAAGAGAATGTTTGGTGAATTTTATCAAGAGGAAAGATGTTATTGCCCTTCTTCCTTCAGGATTTTGCACATTACATACGTCTTGACCAAATAGCAATGACTGGTTAAATCAAAAAGTACCCGTCTACCGTCGAGCAAACGAATCCTAATGCTGTGAGGTCAGATGGTTTCCATGAAGTGAAACCAGCTGATGAATCAGGCTAGTATATAAATGCTTTATGCTTCTTTTTTAGTGGGAACATACTTGCCACTATGCTTTGACTAGAATGTTTTTATTCTTTTGTAAAACTAAATAAATAAACAGCAAATCTTGGAAACTTTATGCTTAAAACTTTCCTGTGACCTAGACCTGTCAGAATAACAACATTTGAAGCATGAGTGCAACTGAGATAATATTGAAACTACTTTATTCTGCTGACACAAAAACAATAACAAAGCAGAATAATCCCAGTAAATACATGTTTAAATATATAGTACCATTAAAAGGTATGAGATGTGAAAATTAAAGTGACTTTTTCAACGCTCTGCAGCTCAAATCTTTTTGTATTACAACAAAAATAACAAAAATATCTCCAGTATTGTAAAGAAACTGCACACATAATAAATACTGAGACCCAAACTATATTGTTCCATCCATCATTTATTGAACACTAAACCAATATAGTAATTATTATGACGTATCTACTTTGAACAAGGTCACTTATAACTTGGCTTGGTTACAATAGTGGAAAAACTGTGATCTAGATTCACAGTCCAGTTTGTCTTTGCACCATTTTTACAAAAAAATTTAAAAAGCTTTTTCACAGAAAACTTTGCACATTTGCTGAATTAGACCACTCTTTCTATCCTCCATTCACATTTCTCCTAATTTTGCATAATTTATGTCACGCTTTGGCACTAGTTCCAATTCACAGCCATTGCAAAGATTACAATAAAACACAATGATGCCTCTCTGAAAGGGGTTAATGGCTTACCACAACCAGCCTGAACGAAGCTATCAATTTGACATCACAAAGAAGCTCATTTCGTCTGAACAATGAAACACTTTCTTGTGGACTAGCGCTGGCATTTGATGGTAAGATCTGGAGAGGAGCTGTTTGTTTATCGCTGTTGTTTTGGTTATGTAAGTCTCAGATATGTGATTGTAACTCGGTTGGACTGCTGGGCGGAGGAGAGGGGTGGAGGAGAGGGCTGGTTTGGCCTCGTGGTCTCAAAGGGCTTGAAAAGGTCAGACCAATGTATCATGAGCTTACCACAGATTTAAACTAATTACAGAGACTCCCCATGCAAAAAGCTGGGTCGATGTGGAGTGTGTCACATTAAAGGCTGTGACTAGCACATAATCCTGTCATTTCATACATAAGTGGTGGATTATCCATAGACTTCTATGCGTACATCCACCCGCCTATTCTCTTCTCATGGGGACTAGTGGTATTTACAATAAGAAGATTTTAACACACACTGGCGGTTGAAATGTGTAGATAAGCCCTTGCTGAATAGTAACCTACTATATAGCCCACTTTTATATGTTTTTCATAAAATGTGCTTTAAATATATTTTCTAAATATGTACATTATACATAGTTCAATACAGGAATAGGGCTTTTAGAAGTGAATGCATTTGTGATAGTTCCAAATATGGATGGACTGAAAATGTTGTGCAGGTAGGGCATCAGCTTTAGATAAATATTTTGTTTCTGGGGAGATGACAGTGTAGCCAGGCTGGCACCACCTAGTGCCTCCGCTCAATTTCATTTCTCTCCAGCGACTATGTCAGGAATCAATCAGCAATCAGTGAAGAGCCATGCATTCTGTGTTGGCAACGATTCCTGAGATCGAGGATTTGAAGCCAGAACAAAGAGAATGTTTGGTGAATTTTATCAAGCGGAAAGAAGTTATTGCCCTTCTTTTTATGGGATTTGGGAAAAGCTTAATATACCAGTTAGCCCCGTTAGCGGCACATTACATATGTCATGACCAAATAACAGTGATTGGTTAAATTAAAAAAGTACCAGCCTACGGTCAAGCGAACTAATTCTGATGCTGTGATGAATCAGGCTAATAACAGTGAAGAAAACCAAAAGAAAAGAAGTAGTAGTATTGGCAGTCGTGGGGGTAACTTTCTGATACTCATTTTTATGTTTGTTCATTCAGTGTTAGTAGGACTGAATGGTTTTAGCATTATGTGATCCATTTTGCATCTTAAAGTTTGTTATAATTAGTATTATATAGCTCTTTTCCTGACACTCAGTCGCTTTTCAATTTTCTACATTATTTATTCACTCCAAACTTGCTGATGATTATTGTGATGAAATCAGTGATGTGTCAATTCAATATTGCACATTAAACACAAAAAACTAAAATATGTGACATTGAGAGATTTCTAAACAACGAGAATCACTGACATTTCAGAGATTGCAAACTACAGGGTTACCAGGTTGTATATATGCGTTTCCATGGTGACAGAATATTTAGTTGCCTCTGTAATTGTAAACACCCCACGCCGTGACAGAGCACTGGAGCTCAGAGTGGCATTTGGACAAAAGCTGTTTCATTATTTACAACCTTTACTAAATTTGCGAAGCTTGGCACCATTTTTGGGGCTGCAAACATTGTGCTGCCAAACACAACAGGTGCACGCCGACAAGCTGTGAAAAGACAGAAAATAACCCAGGGCCCACCAGGAACCTCACGTCCCTGGTTTGTAAAGCTCCGGCTAAAAATGCCATTAAAGGGCCCATGTTACACTGTTTTCTGATCTGTTATGATGTTGTTTTCTCATCAAAAGAACATGAACAGTTGTGTTTTGTTTCATTCACACATGTTTAACACACAAATCCTGCTTATTTTCAAAGGGAAAACACTCCATTCCACCTTGTGATGTCATGTGGTAATACAGGAAGGGCTCTTTCACTACATTCATTTGTATACCTCATCACGAATGTTTGAGTAACCCTGCATTATCAATCTGTCTACACCTACAAAGATCAAAATGCTCTGGTCCAGCTTGTGATGTCATGAAGCAGTAGTTTTCAAGTTAACAACTAAACCTTTAACCTTTTGTTCTTAAACCCCATACACCTTCACTAGAATAATTTGAGATAATATGCAGAATTTTCAGTCTCTCCCAAATGCAAGGTAAAAGGTAGCTATTCATGACATCACAAGATGGAAGATGTAATTTTGAGCTTTGGAGATGTTTGGAGAATTTGGAGCTTTGGAGACAGACTAGGATTACTCAAAGACGTGTGAATGAAACAAAACACGACTCCAGGTATGTTTCTGGTGAGGTAACAACATTCTAACATGGCTTAAAACTCACTAGACTAATTTTTGCGTAATATAGGATCTTTAAAACAGGTTCCGTACTGTAGCATTAACAGTGTATTCTTGTGTGTTTGTAGGTAATGATCTGTTCCTGGTTGCTGTTCACGAACTTGGTCACGCGCTGGGGCTGGAGCACTCCAATGACCCCACGGCAATCATGGCGCCTTTCTACCAGTACATGGATACAGACAACTTCAAACTGCCCATGGACGACCTGCTGGGAATACAGAAGATCTACGGTAAGGCGGGCTGCTTTCTGTTAGCATAAAGGGTTGGGCAGTTATTTCAATGAGTACTATCACATTTGCTTGTTTAAATTTATATTGAGTCCCAAGATATTACTACGATTTGTCTCTTTTTACAGCTGTGCAACAGACATGAGTCACTATTGTTTAAACAGTCCAATCACTTTTATGAGGTTCCATTTGGCCACTTTTTGGAACAGTAGGCTATAAATATTCTGGGATACTTACAAAGCAGCGCTCCTACCCTGCGTTTCCATGTATAATTCATCTCAGGAGAGTTTCGTTCCAAATAGAAATTTCATATAGTAAACATAATTTAAGAATTTAAAGTTAGTCTGTTCCAACAAAAACATTCACTATAATGCCGTTCTAAACTGCACAGTAGTTCCTATGCTTCACAGCTGTGTCATTTGTACCTTACTTCTTATGAACTTTGACAACCATTTAGGAGGAGAAATGCATAAAATCATAACTAACGTATTCTTAAGTGATGTGGTACATATTGACCTCTGCCATATTTAAAGTCATTAAAATAATTCTTGCAAAAGCATTAAGAGTCTGGGTACAGCATGTAACTTATACAAAACATAATTAAAGTAACTATATTACACAAAATTGATTCTTGTGAGCTTTAAGCCGTGCTCCTCAAAAACATACCTGGAGTTGTGTTTTGTTTCATTCACACATGTTTGAGTAACTCTTTAACCCTTAACGTATTAGTCTGCCTACATCTCCAAAGCTCAAAAAGCTCTGTTTTACCTTTTTATGTCACATAGTGGTAGTTTTCAAGTTAACAGCAGCCTTTTGCCAGTTTCACTTCGTGGAAACCGTCTGATCTTGCAGCATTAGGATTCGTTTGCTCGATGGTAGGCAGGTACTTTTTTTATTTGACCAATCACTGCAATTTGGTCGTAATGTGCCGCTAACGGAGCTAACTGGTATATTAAGCTTTGCCCAAATCCCGTAAGAAGAAGGGCAATAATGTCTTTCCGCTTGATAAAATTCACCAAACTGGCTTTTAATCCTTGATCTAGGGAATCGTTGCCAACACATAATATATGGTTCTTCACTGATTGGCTGGTGCCCGGACTCGCACTTCCGGGGTTGTTGCAAACCGTCTAGTGTATTTCGATTCCTGACCTAGTCGCAGGAGAGAAATGAAATTGAGTGGAGGCACTAGGTGGCACCAGCCTGGCTAGCCTTTTGCCATAAATTCAGTAGAGATTGGCAATTCCAGGGCTGGAGTCATCCAGATGATTCTAGTGAAGGTGTATGAAGTTTAAAAACACAGCTGAGCACTATTACCACATGACATCACAAGGTGGAGTGAAGGTGTTTGAGAGAAGAACTCAGCCTAAATATACAGGATTTCTTTGTTTAACATATGAGAATGAAACTAAACAAAATTCCAGGTATGTTTTGAAAGAGGAAATACCATTACAACATAGATCAGAACTTAGCGTAATATTGGCCCTTTAATAATACAGTTGCAGAGAACCAGCATATTTGGAAACTGTCAGCACACATCTCCCCAGTGAGTGACAGCGCTGTCCCTTAGAGCTGAAAACAAATGTGCACATCTTGTTTTTAAGATACCACCACAAATACACACAAGGAGACCTGTCATCTATTTACTGGTTGACAGACTTGGGCGAGCGGTCCATTCTCCATCATCCCAGCTCCAACCTACCCCTCCCGCCATCGCCCCTCCCCCTGCTGGACAAAGAGTTGAAGGACAGGACAGTGATGGAAGTCCAGCCCTATTCCTCCTCACAGCTTTTGGCCTGCTTTTCATTGCATCCTGCCAACAACGCCAAATGTGTTTGCTAAAAAGAGGCCACAGAATCAATTTTGAGTGAAGGAAATTCAGCCCAGGTATATAAGTGAAAATGCTCAATATGAGTTAAGGATGTGAGGATATGAAATTTTACTGTTATGATTATTGTGGGAATAAATTGTTTACGATTTGATACCATAGCAACAACACTTTGTGAATGATGAAATGGTGACATAAACAGCCACATAAAAAGACACTTAACATTTACTCTAGTTATATTCCAATGAAACTTCTTTTTTGTTTTTAAAATCTCACAGTTATTCTTTATTTAGGTATCCAGCACACATGATGGATGATAGGCAAACATTAATCATTTGTATATTTTACTTTACACTCATATTTAGTTTTCCAGACTGGAGTTTATCATCCCACCCGTCCGCTCCCACATTCTGCAGTAATGCTCCGTCCCTCAATGAGATCTCAAAATGTGTCCCATGCGCAACTGTTTTGCGTCTGGTCCTGCAGGGGAGTGCAGTGCTCTATTAACAGCTACCTTTTACCTTTAGTTCAGTAGAGATCGACAATTCCAGTTCTGAAACGATCCAAATGATGCTAATGAAGGTGTATGGAGTTTAAAAACACACTGGAGCACTTCCTGTATTCCCACATGACATCACAAGGTGGAATAGGGTGTTTTCTGTTTTCTGAAGGACTCAGCTTAAATGTGCCGGGTTAGAGACATGTGTGAATGAATCAAAACACAAATCTAGGTATGTTTTTGGTGAGAAAACAACATTATAACAGATCAGTAATGGTGTAATATGGGCTCTTTAACTGCATGTCCTCCCTTTGTTATGAATTGTTTTCTCAAACTTTGAAATCAGAGAATTGATTTAGTAGATCTAAATTAAAGTGAAAATTAATGAAGGCATTTTCTCCCTTCGAAGTGTCTGGAAGATAAAATATTAACCTTACAAAAACATAACAGCCACTTTAGATCCTCTTTGTCAGGATAGTAACTTAATACACTTTCCCAGACCAGCCTGCTTGTTTCCATGGATTGCTAAACGCTAGCTGTGTCAACAAGGATACACAGCCAAGTCCAATACAAAGTCGCTAACATCACAGTCATCTCACAAACTTAATTTGAGCCTTTTAACAGCGTCAGATGTGGTGTCAGTGAAGACCAAGTGGCACTTAGTCTGCGACAGCAAGTTGTGAAAAGTGAGAAACTTAATGAGTCAACGCTGCAAAAACAAAGTGTGTCCAACCACATCCAAAGAGCAAAATAAACAGCCAGTCCACTCATTTTCTGGGTCGATTCTCCGAGATGGTGTCATCGTTTTTTCTGTAGGCCCCACCACATTAAAACACAGTTAAGAACTATTGATACTTGGCAGTGACATCACGCTGGGGGTGTTCTACATGTATCTCTAATGGTGGGATGTTTAGGAGTTACCATGTTGACGCAATGCACACATTAGCAAATACTGTCAAAACATTTTTAAGACTCCAGAAAAAATATGAAATGGACAACAACAAATGTTTATTTTATGTGCCAGCGACTTGTACTTGCACATACTGTATCATCTCACCTGTTCATATCACCAGCTCCAACTAAATCAGCTTTTCTGGTCAGATTGTGTTAAAATAAGCCTAATAAATCTAGAGCTTGGGAGTAGAGGTCTGCGCGTCTGCACCCGCATTGTGCAGTCCCGCTCCTGCCCGTGTCCGCAAAGAATTGTGATTTTCATGCCCACTCCCGCCCGCATCTTCGATATTTTGACCCGCTCCCGCCCGCAAATCCCGCAAGATTGAGATGTTCGCTTTCTTAAACTCTACCAAACACGGAGAAGCGGAAAGGAATTGTTTAAAATGTGCACAAGATTAGACCACATCCACAAGTTTAGACTGCTTAAAATGTTTTTAGTAATACCAAATAAAATATCCAGCATAAATGATGTATGATAGGCATGCATTAATAATTTGTATATTTAACTTTACACTCATATTTAGTTTGCAAGACTGGAGTTTATCATCCCACCCGCACGTGCCCACAATGAGCTATCACAATGTGTCCTGCACCGCACAGTTTTGCATCGAGTCCCGCGAGTGCAGAGCTCTACTTCAGAGAGAGCAGTGCCTACAGTTAGCACCACAACCCCTGGGAATGTTAATGACATCAGCTGTAAAAGTATCTGTACATTAGTTATCTGCTATAGACAACCCTGCTTTAACTTTGTTTTTGGCAACACTTAATTTAGCAGTTTAACAGGGCACATCAGTCCAGCAGATGTCCACCAGATGCTTGTCTCCATGGAGATGTTATTGCTTCATCAGGAATGTCCCATGACATGACATCAAACATATCTACACATACTGTATCTGTTTACATTTATTGAATTACAGGTGTTTTTATTGCTCAAAAATACACTGAAAAACATTGTGCTACCTTCTTGTCTCCAAGGAGATTGATACATTTAATTTCATAACATAGAATTTTCTAGACAAAGCAATAACATCATGCAGTAAAGTAAGTGATGGAACACCAGAAAAATTACACAGTGCGCCTTTAATTTGGGGCTACAGTGATTCCCCAGTAGACTAGACATCACAGTGTTGGGAATTCAATCTTACAGTAGGTCTGGCCAGTACATTCTGCAATTGTGCCCTTGAGCAAGGCGCACAATCCAGACATATTCTCCGTCCTTTTTTATGGCTAATGTTACAAAGCACAACTCTTACTACTTCCGATTGTGTTCACATTGCCATTTAAATGAACTCTGGGTCATTTGCTTTGTCGGTGCCGTTCATTTTGTAAGTGCAGAGGCAACCATAAAAAAGATGCGATAATAGAAATCAGGAGTTAATAGTTTTCCAAATGTGAAGAGAATTGACTTTTTGCGATACAACAAAATGACTACAGGCAAAATGTGTTTCAGTGAAAGGTTAGGCCATCAATGTAAACTGTAAACTCTTAGCAAGGTTATTTGTGACCTGCATTCAGATTATTGTCGCAGGATAACTTGTAAAGAGGGGAGGAGTAACATTTAGTTTATCGTGATTTTCTTAAGTCTTTAGATCTGAATTTTAATACGATTCTTAAACACTTTCTGGTGTTTTTAAGATCATCTCCAGCAGTGGGTTTGCCTGACCAGCCTTAATCCAGAAGGGAATGGAACGGGACCATAGTGCCTGAGAAAACGTCTGTCCAAAGTTGAGACAGTCCAACCACAGCTGCTATTCTCCTCTCAAAAATTCTTGTAACATTTCCAACAAAATATACTAGTCCATCACAAAAAAATGTAATATCATGAAAAAGTTAAATATTTTGTCACTCATTTCAGAAAGTCAAAACCATATATAGACTCATGACACATAGAGTGAAGCTTTTAAACCTTTATTTCTTGACATTTTGAGACTTATTTTACAGCTTATAGAAAATGAAAACCCAAAATTCAGTGTCTCAGAAATTTGAATATTACATTTAATCAGTAAACAAAAGGATATCAGAATCAAAAGATAATGTGCTTTAGTCTTACATCACCATATCAGCCCTACTGATAAAGTTAAGAAAAGGCTCTCCAAAACACATATTGGTATAAATTCCAACTATTCTTAAACTGCTGAACTCTTTCCCTGTGGCTTTAGCTTAGCATCATTAGCTGCAGTCACCAATGGGCCAGTGAAGGGAAACTCTCCAAAATCCTGATCCAGGCCTGTCCCATATTGAGCTATTTTGGTGGGGTAAACCCTGCTGTTTGTTTGGGTAGCGTCTGGTCAGCCCTGCGCTTATGTAACTCTGGCTTCTCTAATCTGGGATGAATTTCAGAGGATTTCAGCCCATGAATGAAATCTGTCTCCAGGGCGACCAGCTGATCAGCTCTGTGGACTGGGAGATGTCTCATGAATGGCCGTCCTTCATGTTTTTTTGTCAGTGTTGACAAGGACACTTCAAATAGTCTTTTTAATTACACCAGCTCAATTCAACAAAAGAAGCTAATTGGAAAGAAACGGACTAGTTGACTATTTACCGAACGTGTGCATGTTTTTGGATGGTGGATTAAAACTGTGTCACTACATTTTTCTTTGTGTAAATGTGTAACTTTAATCTACCTACCTAATTTACCTAAGAGTATATTATAAAGGATGAATAGACTTATTAGATTTAAATGCCTACTTCCTATTATTTTTTATTTTTTTAAGGCATGAAGGCACAACATATAGTCTCCATACTCTCAGAACATGTACATTTAACAAAGAAAGAAGAAATAAAAAACAAAACTGAAAACAAAATTGTTAAAAACATTCAATGTTCAAAAAGGAGTAGTAGCAATCCTACCCCTACAATTTACAATATTTCATCTATATGATATTCAATATGTAGTACATTATAGTGTATCTTTAGACATTAGACATTAGATAAATTAAATGTAAAAAAAAAACAAAAACACACACACACGCACACACAAAAACCCACACACAAACACACAAACGCATTATAAATACACACAGGTTTATAATATATACACTATATATAAAGTAATATATATACTTTTTTTTTTTTTTTAAGATTAATATTTGCACATTTTTTATACTTATCTCCAAGTCCATTCCATAAATGTACTCCACTTTGTCAAACTGTTGTTCTTACTTTTACTTTCAGCCATAGAGCAAGTAACACAGAGACCAGGCACATCCACTATAAAGGTCACATGTTACACTTCACTCTTTTCTAATGTTCTAGTACTGTTTCCTCATCACAAACACAGCTGGAGTTGTGTTTTGTTTCATTCACACGTTTAACACACAAACAGAAAACTGTCTGTCCCACCTTGTGATGTCATATGGTAATACAGGAAGTGCTCCACTGTGTTTTTAAACTCCATACACCTTCATTAGAATCATTTGGATGATTTCAGCCCTGGAATTGCCAATGTCTACTGAAATAAAGGTGAAAGTAGCTGTTAACTTGAAAACTATCACTACATGACACAGAGCATTTTGAGCTTTGGAGATGGCAGACTAACAAAAAAGTGTTACTCAGACATGTGTGAATGAATCAAAGCACAAGCCCAGGTATGTTTTTGATGAGGTAACAACATTAAAACATGGCTTAAAGCTCACAAGAATCCATTTTGTGTTATATAGGACTTTTAAGAGGTTCTGAGCCTGAATTTAACCAAAATCCTTTTCAGTGCTTCCCTTATAAATACTGCTGCTACTACTCACACATATTTTTACATATTTATATTGCCTCGTGATTCATGGATACATGACTTCTTGCTAAAGGAAGGGTCTTTTTCTCACCTTCATATGACTGCACACATGTGTTAGCCCTGATTAGCTCATAGGCCGTATGTTATCTGTGCTTAGTCATACATTCAATTATTCAAAGCTCACTCCAGTTCTCCCTATCTCCCGTCTCCCTCGCTCCTCCACATGTGAGTCATGAATGTTAAATGGGACCATGGCCTGTCTGAGCAAACTTATATTTTTATCTCCATATGTTTCAGGCATGATCTTATGAAGCCTTTTCAATATTATTAATTCACAACTCTGCTTTTTCCAGACTTTAAATGCCTTTTTCATGTATGCAAAATACAGTGTCAAGGTATTCAACCCTTTTAAGGTTATAGGTGTGCATGTAGCTTTGTGGTCTCGATAGAGATGTTATTTTCCTGGAATGTTATGCAGTAGGGCATTAAATATTAATAATAATACATTTTATTTATACAGAGCTTTTCGAAACACTCAAAGACCTTGCACAAAGAATACAATCACAAAGGGTGCATTTAAAAACAAGTTAATCACACAAAATATATATAATAAAATAAAAAATAAACAAAAAACATGCATACACTGTGAATGGGCTCACCTCTCTACAGATCTGAGCACTAACCTGGCCTGATAGCCTGTTTGTTTTTATGAGGATCACAACGTACTAGTAAATGCCTTGCTGTGGGACATTTCTTACAAAGCAATAACATCTGAAGTGACAGACACCTACATGAAAAGGTACATAATCGATCTTTAAAATATACTTGTTGTTAGGCCATATTCTCTGCAGATCTTGAGCTACATTTATTGTCAGGACCACCTATCAACCACCAACTGCACACACTGTCGGTCAACCAACCCAATCTGGGAATCAAACCTGAAACATTCTTGCTTTGAGGCACAAATTCTTTTTCACTATTCCACTTCTGATTGTTCATACTAGCTTCCATCCTGTTACTGAAATTTCACTTACCTGATAAATATCTCTTTTTATGTAATAATCATTCATCAGGAGTGCTCACCTGTATTTTGTTCCACTCTGTAATCTCGTCTCAGATCTGCGTTTTTGTTGCCAGGAACATTTAGTGTTTTTCTCTCGAGGTGTTATCCAAAATCACAGACCACCGCTTCAACAAATTCGTCTGGAAAAGTCACTATAGTTTTAAAAGTGCATTGCAAAACTCACCTGCTCATTTCTATGGATACGTATGTCATTGCTCTGCCTGAAATGCTCCACAGTATGACATTAAACAGCTCTAACCTTCCTTTCCAATAGTTTTGTATTACTGCCAATATCAGCCCAACATTTGTCATGGAGTCATTCAGTTTTATATTTCAATATACTTTATTCTTCTTTTTGAAATTAAAGGTGCACTATGTAACTTTTTGGTCAGGGGTGACTCAACTGCTTGTTTCTATGGAGATGTCATTGCTCTGGAATGTGACACAATATGACTTTAAACAGTTCTACCTTACATTTATTCAATTACAGGTTTTATAGCTCAAAAATATCTAGAAAAACAGATATTCTGACTGAGTGGGGTTGCCTTTCCACAGATCTGACCTGTAACTTGGCCTGGTTTGGTCTCCATGAAGATAGAAAGGCTTAATGCCATACTGTGAAACATTCCAGACAGAGCAAGAACATCTCCATGAAGAAAAGCATTTTGTTGTTGTTGTTGTTGTTGTTGCTGTTTTTGTTTTTTTTGGAAACTTTATTGGGTCAAAGTTTCAGACAAAAAAACAACAACTTTACATTACATTAGACACAATATTTATGTTGTATTTTGTTTTATTAACTTTGAAGGACCCTCCACCAGAAAAGTTCCGCAATGCGCCTTTAAGACAAGCTCTAAAAATTCCTTTCTTTGCAGCATAAATCATTTTCGGTCTGTTTCTTCCCCCAGGCCCACCAGATAAGCTTCCCCAGCCGACCAAGCCTTTGCCTACAGCTCCCCCACCTCGCTCCCATCCACCATCGGACCCCCGCAAACCGGACAGACAGACCAGGCCCCCCAGGCTGCCCCCGCCATCCCACCCCAACGCCAAACCCAACATCTGCGAGGGGGGATTCAACACCCTCGCCATCCTTCGAAGAGAAATGTTCGTCTTCAAGGTAAGACTGCAGACACATATCAAAACAGTCCCAAGGCTGTTTTTCACTATTTGTTTTTGAGCCATCAATTTTACCTCAAGGTGCTCTACACTTTTAGCAGAGAGAAATACAACTTTAGAAGGGAACGCTATTTTAATAAATAATATAGTCCTGACATTGCTCTACTAATTTTTCTCAGGTTAAATACAAATAAAAAATTGTGAACTCAATAATTACTTAAAGGTACATTGTGTAACTTTTCTGGTGGAAGGTCCGCCAAATGCTTTTCTCCGTGGAGATGTTATTGCTTTGTCTGGAATGTTTCACAGCATGGTATCAAACCTTTCTTCATGGAGACCAAACCAGATCAAGTTACAGGTCAGATCTGTGGAGAGGCGACCCCTCTCACAGTCAGAATGCCAGTTTTTTTTGTTATTTTTGAGCTATAAAACCACCTCTAGTGGAATAAATGCAAGGTTTAATGTCATGCAAGAAACAAGAAGGTGATGGGCCACCAAGCAAAAAGTTACGTAGTGCACCTTAAAGTAAGAGTTTAGTCTTTGTTGAAAGCACAATGTCATAATTGTTAGTACCTGACTTGGGGTTCAGTCTGAAAGGTGCTGTAGCCCAGGGGGTCCCCAACCCCCGAGTTGTGGGTCATTTGGTACCGGGCGACGGAAGCATGAACCCCCCCCTCCCTTACGCCTTGTGGACCGTGCCTCCTTCTGTGCGCTGTGGACGTCTTCTTGCGTACACCACATGGACTGCACCTCCTCTCATGTTTCCTGCGCCTCTAAACCAGAACTAAAACCAGGACTAAACCATGACTAAAATCAGTTCTAAACCAGGACTAAACCAGGTCTAAAACCAGTAGTAAACCATGCCGCGCAGACTGTGAAAATATTGTCCCAAAAAATATTGTCATAAAACTGGTCTGAGCAAATTTTGTTTTTCACATTTTTATTTTAATGTAATTTACCAGTCAAATTTTGGTAGAATTTCTGGTATTTGCAAAGACTTTGTTAAATTTGTTTGAAAAACCTAATATGGAGCAAGCAACACAAATGTTTGTCACCCACAATGGGAAGAGTATTCAAGTAGGAATACTGTTTATGACTCAAATAGAAGTAAAAGTTACTACACCTGCTCCAAACTATTTTTAACTTAAAATGCACTGTGTAACTTTTTTGGTGGAGGGTCCGTCACTTACTTCTCTCCCTGGAAATAATGCCCGGAAATGTTGACACCTCAGTGCCAAGTTACATGTCAGATCTGTGGAGAGGCGAGCCCACTCACAGTAAGAATAAAGGTTTTAGGTCAATAAAAACCCATGACATAATGAGTTAATGTAAGATGGATATGGTTAAAGCCATACCGGGACATTCCAGACTGAACAACAACATGTCCGTGCAGACAGTTAGCAGACCCTCCAGCAGAAAAGTTACAAAGTGCACCTTTAAATGCCTTTTCCGACTTTTGAATAGGTTTAGGAATTAGCTCCCCCCTACATAGTGTATCTCTGTATACAGAAATAGTCTCTCCCTGCATGGTCTGAACCTAATCGGCTGAGAGGAGCAACAATAGACCCCCTATCACACGTTTTACACCAGTGTGGATGTCCTATAGGTTTGGGAAAATCCATTATACAGCCTGAAGCTAGCAGAATTAGCTAAAGCATATGCTCGGAGCTGTGAGGATTACCTGAAGTCTGTGTTGAATGCTAATCTGCCTCGGAGTGTGTGCATATTGTGGGGAATGGAAAAGTGAGCTGAGTTGTGAGCGTTTAGAAAGTCATTTGAAGAAGTTATATTTGAGGTTGACTTTGGTCCTTATAGAGATTCTGTGTGTGTGTGTTAGGTCAGTGTAGTGATCTTAAATTTACCTTTATTAAATTAAAATGATGGTCTATGGTAATGCACAAGACCAATTTTAATAAAAGTAAAATAACGGAAACTAAAATATACTGATGAAAACAAATTCACAAAGGAAAGTCCTGGGTGATGGGGCCTAAAAATAAAATTGTATTTTTTTGGCACACACACTGGACTGGACTTCCACATTACAAAACTACAGTGCCCAAGACTGCTCAGACATGCACTTATTACTCCAAATACAACTGTGGGTGAGTAAATGGTTAAAAGCTCAGAAAAAATGTTTTTGCAGAATAGGTCTGGTTTTTAAAAAAAAACATATTTTATCATTTAGTGAGCAACTCATTGTGTTTATTTCCATGTACTACAGCTGCTTTACAGCACATCCAGTCCAGATGAGAAGATACCTGTTCCTCAGTTCATGTTGTACCAGTGTGTAGCTGGTGTGTTACACTGAGAGACCTGGAGGCGACATAAAGCTTCAGTGTGTGCTGTGAAAGAGCAGAGTGTGTGACTGCTGCTGTGGTTCTGTGGATATAAATAGACTGTTTCATTGGTTCAATAAGAAACTCGTGGAGCCTGAGGGGAAACCCCCATCAGTTCTGTCTGTTCTCCTGTTTAGAGATTTGTTCTTCAGGTGATCAATGGGAGCTACTACTGCCACTGCTGCTACTACTACTTCTGCAACTACCACTACTACTTATCTTAAGAAATATGCAAGAAGTTCAGCTCTGTATTAATAATTTTGTACATGAATACATAACTATACTGCGTACTATTGGTTTATCATATAAAACAAAACAAACTGGTGGAAATTCTGTATAATTACATTTTCTGACAGAGCATTTGTCTTGACCCTTCTATACAGACCCCCCTTCCCCTTCTCACTCCTAAACCTCTTCCTCCCTCCCGCCTGTTACTCCTCTTTCCGTCCTCGTGTTACTCCTCCTCTCTTCCTCCCTCATGTTGCTCCTCTTTCCTCTCTCCTCTTACTCCCCCTTTCTCCCTCATGTTAGTCCTCTTTCCTCCCTCGTGTTTCTCCTCTTTCATCCCTCGTGTTACTCTTCCTCTCTCCAGGGGAAACTTCGTGATGGAGTGATGAGGATCATGGGACTTGTGCACAGTGCAGCTATTGAAAGACAGACTGCACTTGTTATAGCGAGTTAACAAGGCTTTGATTTGACAAGACAAACATGGGAATAGTGGAAGATGTTCTTAAGTAATTCAGATATGTCCAAGTTTATGTCAAAATCAATTTCAGTCCAAGCTTTTGACAGACTTTGAAAGCTCATAGTCAAGTTGTACAATACTTTACACAGAAAAAAACATACAGGTTACTTTATACCCATAATTGTCTATAATAGTTTTGTGTAGTCTTATATTTCACTCATCTTGCATCTCTATTCAAAGTATTTATAATATTCTAGTTAGACTTGTTAGTTTTAAATCATATTTAGGCTGTGTTTTTCTCACAAACAGAAAACACTCTGTTCCACCTTGTGATGTTATGTGGTAACACAGGAAATGTTCCACTGTGGTTTTAAACTCCCTACACTTTCTTTGGAAAAATTTTGAGAATTTCAGCCCTGGAATTCCTAATCGCTACAGCGCAAAAGGTAAATGGTAGTGTTAAAATCTACCTGTTCATGACATCACAAGGTGGAACAGAGCATTTTGGGCTTTGGAGATGTAGACAGACTAATAAAGGATTTCTCAAACGTGTGAATGCAACAAAACACAACTCCATTTATCTTTTTGAGGAGACATTTAACATGACTTAAAGAGTAAATTTTTCACAATATAGGATCTTTAAATGTTTGAACAACTGCTTATCTTGATTTTGTTGCTCCATATACCTATTCTACTGCTGGTCTTGAACTTTGCATTGCAACATTGAAACTTCCCCACTGTGGAACTGTGGCAGTAAAGGTCCTCTTATATCCTATACCTTATATCTTGACACAGTAAACATTAATAAAATTCATAGACGGCCTCTTTGGTTTGGGGCTGTGCCAAAGCAGGAGAGATTAGCTTGGCCTCCTAATCATATTGTGTTGTCAAAGAAAGCAAAATCATTATCACAATTACCTTAATGCTGTAGTTATAACACTTTAATTTAACAGAGCTTTTCATTTTCACTACTTTAGTTCAATTAAATAAATTAAAGAGACTGCCAGCATTGTCTGCAACACTGCGTTTAAAAGCCAGTCCACTGGGGCCTCCATGGAAAACCGAGTTCAGCACAATCTCGGCATTGTTTAGAAAAGGTAAACTGTGAAAAGAGAAACAAATACCACAAAGTAAATAGGTTTATTATTTTGTATGTTGTTAAGTAGAAGGCCTGATTAAATGTACAAAGAAAAACACATTTTACTGTTTCAGATATCTCAAAGTAGCATTTAAAGGTGTTTGCAGTGGTCCACAGTTAATCCTCATTTACTTCGTGCAAATCGAGCATCTTAATTATTCACCAATATGAGTTTTTAAGTACTTTTCACAACTTTCAGAGGCCAGAGTGGAGTGGATTTGCTAATTTTGCTCAAATCAAATCATGCAAAATGTACTCTTTTGAGCTTTAAGACAAGTTATAATGCTGTTACCTCCTCAAAACATATCTGGACCTGTGTTACTTCATTCACACGTTTGAGTAATCCCTTATTATTACAGCTACCTTTTAACTTGAGTAAACTTAGAAAAGGATTTGCGTGTTAAACATTTGTAAATGGAACAAAACAAAACTCCAAGTATATTTTTGATGAAGAAACAACATTATAACATAGATCACTGTTTCTCAAAGACTGGGTCGCGACCCTCAGGTGGGTTGCTAGAGAATTTTTGGGGGGGGTCGCCTTGTCATGATCTACTCAGGCTGGCGCCACCTAGTGCCTCCGCTCAATTTAATTTCTCTCCAGCGACAAGGTCAAGAATCGGAATACAGTAGATGGTTTGCAAAAACCCTGGAAGTGTGAGTCTGGGCACCAGCCAATCAGCGAAGAGCCATTCATTCTGTGTTTGCAACAATTCCCGAGATCGCGGATTTAAAGCTGGGTTGAAAGTTGAAATGTTAAGACATGTTTTGTGTAATTTCTAATATTTTTGTAATTATTTTATTGACTATTTCTTTCCTAATATTGCTGGTTCAATTGAATG